AAGTTACAAGATGAGATTATCATCTTGAAAGAGGTTGAAAGAAATTGATAGCAGAAGTTGTTAGGCTAAATGTAGTTTTCAAGCCTGAAGTTGAGATTTTAAAAAATTTCTGGTTTAGATTTTTTTAAATTTCTACCAAATAACTTATCAAAGTAGTGGGGAGGATGGAAATCAATTTGTTCATAAATAAAAAGTAAAATAATACCCTAACTCTTAGACCGCTGAAGTGTAGTTTTAGTTAAATCATTCCCTCCATTCTAAGTAATCTCAAGTGATAATCTTATAAAGAACCTTATTATTAAAGGTGTCAGGAAAAATTCCCTAGGAATTTTGCATTCATAATTTTTATCCTCCCATTTTCAAAAGTAATTTTAGGCAGCTCATAGTAGTTAATTTCACTTTTATTTACTGACTTTCATTGTTATTTGGGACCTGACTCATTCTTAATTTCCCACCAAAAGCCTGCACAGTGCATATTACACCGTTCCAACTTATTTTGGACTGTTTCTAAAGAACAAAGAGCCTCTATTAGTTTCTTTATAATCCAGATTGAATGTATGCATTCTAGTACGGATTGAACTGATATTGAATAAAGTAGTTGTATGGTTTACTAGCTATTTGATTTAATATTCTGCATTAAATAGGGTTTGAAATGTAGAGGTATCTGGTTTTCTGGCTGCCTCGGTTTACATACTTCTTTATCTATAGCTGAGATGGATTGGGAGAAAGACTGGGCTCTCTACTCCCATAAAGAGTTATTGTCTCAGAAACCAACAGGAGCAGCTCTACTCTGTCCTACAGGGTCACTAGGAGTCGGGATTGACTCAACGGCAATGAGCTTTTTGAGAGCTGAGATGAAGACCAGCCGTTCACAGGACAGCAATGCCAACATCTTCTGGTGTGCCCAGGCTGCAGATCATTTCACAGTAAGCACATGATTCAACCATTCAGTAATCTGTCAAGTCATGAAGATCTCCAGAAGAAATCTATTTCCAAACTGTTCAATAGTTATAATAATAGTTAGAATTTTTGTAAGTATTTTACAGTTATAGTATTTAAATTAGCTATTCATTGCAAGAGACATTTTGGGTTGTCTGTCATTATTCCTTACATTTTGCAAATGAGAAGACTTGGCTTATGATTTTGTGAATTCAATATCATTTTTACATTCATTATCTACTCTACTCATGTAAGCTATTTGTAGAATTTGAAGGGGAAATAAAAAAGGGTATTTTCCTTAAGCATTAATACGTATTCGTAATGAACTCTTATTAATTTTAGAAAAATGTTCATATCAAATTCCCAGAGGATTTTAGACTTTTGATATTTTAGACTTGATTTTAGACTTTTAATATTTGGGCCTGTTCAATATAATTAAGGAAATATTCAGGTATTCCTGGCTTATTGTTTCACTTGGAATTGACTACTTGCTAAATAGAAGTTACCACATAACAAACATGCTTTTTTAATATGAAAACTTCAATTTCTGCAACATTCCCTACATCATTGACTGTAATAAACAAAGATGAAAGAAAAATTAAGTTTTGAGTCTGACTCACAACATCCAAAATAATAAATGATAGAGTTTCATATTTCATATCAACATTTTAGCAACGAATGCAAGGGAGAATAGAGCTTTTGTCCCCAAATCTTCTCTCTTGGTTGTTTACTGTTGCTATATTTTTTCTTTCTTGGTAAATTCCCTGGTAAATCAGAGCAAGAGAAATAAAACTCAATCGGTCACCAACCTTTATGAAGTAGTGCCTGGGGCCGGGACATGCTCCCTGATGCTCAGCAAATTGTAAAGAAGCTAATTTCCAGATGCTTGTGAAACAACTATCTATCAATGAGGAACTGAGTCCCTGAGTGGTGCAAACGGTTAATTTACACGATAGCTGTCTGAAGGTTGGCATTTTGAGCTCAATCCAGGTGTTTTTTATACTTCTAAGAAAACAAAACCCAAACCCATCCATTAAAAAACCCCATGAAGCATAGTTCTACTCTGCCACCCAGGAGAGCCCTCACTACACGTCAGCCTCGACTCCACAACTGGTTGCTTAGTCGGGATCAGGTGTAGTTTTAAAAATAATAATAATCCTTCACTATTCTTAGACCTCACATCTACCTGGGCATGAGATTACTCCATTATGACAAGAAGGTCCAGGAAGGAGTCTAGCAAATTCTACACCAAACAAGCAGCTGTGGGGGAAAAAGAAGCTGGTGCTGGTCCTTCCTTGGTGTCTTCCCGAGTCTTGTCTAGTTATCTGTGTAGGGAAACTGGGATTGAAGGAAAGATGAAGATGGTGGTGGGTGGATGATTACCAGGAGGGAGAGGAACTGGAGAAATGGGGAATCAACACCACTGTGTAAAGGAGGAGAGGAGAAAGTTCCAAAGTTGATGGTGAAGATGATCGCACAGCCTTTCTTGATATGAATGTACCATTCAATTGTATAATATGTTCTTTATAACTCAATTAAAAATCATGTGTCAAGGATGCCTGTTAGACTATTAATGAACTTATTTTTTAATTCCGGAAATGAGGCTGGCATCAGATTCTTAGCTCTTTAAGTGAGTGGTCCTTTGTGAAGAGACACAGGCTCACCAAATGGGGATAAGCATTATCGCTAGTTGCATACTATTTTCAAGATGGAGGAAAGATATCACATTAAGGAAACTAAATGGGTAATAGTTTTTCCTTCCCGCAGCCAGGGTCCTGGGGCTGCCAGAGAACAAGAAGAATGGGTGGAACTGTTGCAACTGCTCAAAAATTCTTGGGAAAAAATGTTTTCTTTTTCCTGGTTTAGTCAAAAGAGAGACAATATTTCCGTCAGTCAAACAATGGTCGCTCAGCTGCAGTATGGACTGGACATATGTTCTCTTGCAGACTGGGTTATTGAAATAGCCTTTGGACATCTCTTCTGAGACCAGTAGATGAATCTTAACCTTCATCTGAGTAGTCTGAAGCTGAGCTGCCCAAGTAAAAATACACTCTAATTTATTTAAAAGTTGTAAGTAAATACCATCACACATATATTCCCCGTATTGTTCTGGTGCTTAAATACAAACTCCTGCAATGTAACAATGTTGCAGGGTCCTGAAAGACATATATCTTCAAGGACTTTAGGGGTCAGTCTATGGACCAAGGAGCAAATGTTTTATAAGAGTAGTAGTTTCTTGGTGGTGGGGGGTGGCGGGGTGGGAGGCGTGAGGGCGTAGAATTCTCATGTCTACAGTAAGTAGGTTTTCTTACTAGGACCTGTTAAGAATCAAAAATAGAGAAAAAGAGGAGTCAATTGTCAAAGAAGAGTGAGGCACTTAGAGGTTACCTGTTGGGTGGCTAACATAAGGCTGGTCCGTGGTTCAGACCCAGACAGATGAGACTTTCTACTCCCACAAAGATTCAGTCTCACAAATGCACAGGAGCAGTTCTACTCTGTCCTATGGTGTTGCTATGAGTCGGAATCAACTAGATGGCAGTGAATTTGCAGTTGGAGGAGAAATTTGAAGTTAATGTTCTGAAACAATAGGGGTCTGAAAATGCCATTTGATAGAATCAATTTTTTTCCCTGTTTATAATAACTCGCTACCATTAAGTCAGTGGTAACCCATAGTGACTCCCTGTGGGTTTCTGAGACTGTAATTGGGGGAATAGAAAGCCTGTCTGTCTCCCTTGGAGCTGTTGGTGATTTCGATCTGCCAACCATTAGGATCACAGCCCAACACCTAACAACTACACTGCCAGGGCTCCTTCCTGTTTATACTAGATTTCCTTTTTTCCTTAAGATATATCTTATGAGGTATATTCCTATAAAATTAGTTGATGCAATTCTGTTCGCTGTTTGACTGTGCTACCAATGTGATATTTAGATCAGTTCATTTTATTTTTTAATTTTTAAGAAAAAATTATTTTCCTTTTTAAACTTATCTTAATCATGTAAAATATTGGAATTGTTCCAAATTAAAAATTATATTAAAAAGTGTACTTATATAAATTTTATTTTTATTTCTGTCACTCCACGTTTTCTTTTTTCTTTTAGTAGGAGAATTCGCTTTTAGATTATTTTTATCATTTCTTTAAAAAATATACATGCAAATTCTTTGTAAAAATATATTCACATTCCCCTTCACCTTACTTACAAAAGAAAAAGAGAGACAGACAGCATGCAAGACAGAGAGCATGTGAGAGACAGACAGACAGAGAAAGAAAAACGAAGAGGACATGCTGGTTTGTGTGTGTGTGTGTGTGTGTGTGTGTGTGTGTGTGTGTGTATGTGATTCAACAATATATCTCAGAGATCACTCATTATCAGTGTGTGCAAACTTTTCTCAACTCTTTTAGAATTAGTACTACCTTTCATGCCAGGCCCCTATTGTTAGGTACTTTTTTTTTTTTCTATGTCCAAGAAAACGTTTATTTAGGTTGGTCTCAAAAGAAAAATCAGGCAAAAGTTCAGTGAAAAACAAAACAATAATTAAAAAAAATTTTTTTTTAGAGAAAATAAGCAAAGGTCATTGGCACTGCCAGTTTGGGGGCTGGGGTGGGGTACTGTGTAATTGAGTCCAATGGTTTGGATCGGAGCACAGACAGGATGGTGGCGGTATTCTCGCAGAATATGCTGCTAGGAAACCAAAGGAATACGTCCCACCGCAGCCAGGTGCGTGTGGGGGCGTGGGGAGGGAGTTGTCTGACAGCCAAAATGGCAACTGACTGCCCCTGGCTGCACTCAGAGAACAAGCACCTCAGGACAGGCTTGGGGGGACACTTCTCAGCAGTGGAGGGGGGCAGGCACCTGGGTGGCCCTCATGAGAGGCTCCAGCTGAGTCTGCACCCGGCTTTCACCCTAGGCTTGGAGGCCGCCCCTCCCAGGCTTCTCTGTAGTGTGTGATGGCCTCCAGGCCGGGCGCTGGCTGGGGGTGACCCCACCCATCCAACAGAACCTTGCATCTCAGGCAGACAGACCTCCATCCTTTGGCCAAGGGAGAGCAGTGATAATAAATATAGTGGAATGATAGGCTGAGCTGTAATCTACCAATGGTTGAGGGGTACAATTTACACTACAACACAAAGAATCAGCAATCTCAAAAGAACTGTTTTTAAATTTAAAAAAGAAGAGAGAAAAGAAAAGAAAAACCAAAGAACGGGTTTGCAATGATTCCTCACCAAATCTTCCTGTTTTGGACACTAGCCCCATGGAAGCTACATACTGAATGTATTAATACAGCATCGCGTTTCTTTGTGTAAAAAATCTTTGTACATAGTAATAAAAAAAGATAAGGCAGGGTGCTTCAAACCGAAACCCTCGGGGTCCTTGGCCTCGGCACCTCCAGAGCCGCTGGTGACCGTCTGCGACAGGGGCGTTTCTGATCTTCCTGGGGAGCACCTCCCGCCTTTGCTGTGGTGAACATCTGTCCGCGCTGCACCCGGAGGGCAGAGGCTGCGGCGGCGGTCTTTGGCACTTACGCTGGCAGGCTGAGCTTCTTTCCCTTGAGCACTTTCGTGATGTACAGGTAGAAGAAGTCGCAGTAGAGGATGGTCTGGACGACACCGGCCACGACGGCGATGAGGTCGAAGAAGCCCTCGAAGTAGAAGCGCCAGATCCAGTTGAAGAAGTACAAGGCGCGGTAGAGGCCCAGGAAGAACAGGTAGTGGGTGGTGATGGTCTCTGCCTCGCCTGTCTTGCTGATCATGAACAGCTGCGGGAGGATGGCCACGGACTCCAGGTAGATGGAGAAGGTCCACAAGATCTCGAGAGGGGAGAAGTCATGATTGACTAGAAACGAGAGGCCTCCCACTGGGACCACCAGAAACTCCACGCGGAAGGTGTCGTGGTTTCCGTCGTAGGTTGCCTTGAATTTCATGTAGATCAGGTACACGGTGGCGTAGGAGCAAGCAATGTAGATGAGCTTCATAGACGTGTTGTATAAGGAAATAAAGGCCGTGAAGAGGTCCAGGTAACGTGTCGTGAAGACCAGTGCGAACAGAAGCTGGCTCTTCCCGGAAATGCCCGCGCAGGAGCGCGTCTTCCAGATCTTCAGCAGCAGGATGACGATGGCCGCCAGGTGGGACAGGTCCCCGGTCAGCCGGAAGATGTTCATGGTGGCAGCGGCGTTCGGCGCGGCGGCCCCGGGGCTGGCGGCTCAGGCGGCCCCTGAAAGGAAGCGGCGAAGATGGCCTTGTTAGGTACTTATGATTCTTTCAGGACAGACTCCTTTTAAATTGAGATAAAATATTATGGAATCTAAAGTTGAATTAAATTATTTTTATTATGTTAAGTAACATAATATATGAGAACACATATAAATAGGTATATGCCAGTATTCTCTATCTACTATAATTAGAAAATTATAATAGAAAACAATTATATATTTTCAGTATAAATGAAATATATATGCTACTATACAGGCACTTAGTTAGAGGGGAAGAACCCAAATAAATTAGCTTATGTCAGGCAACAACAACTACAAAAATTAACTTTTGAAAATATGTTGTATCACGCACACATGATTCAGAAGGTAAAAATATTTCAGAAATGTCTGGACCCAGGCCATCTCTCCAGCCATGTGATAGCAAAAGGTGGACCATGGGCAGTTCCAAGCCCACAATATTTTATAGCTCAAGATCATCCAAAAAATGTGAGTCTCTAATTCCCACCAGTATCCGTAACCACCAGCAGAAAAGATGTATGATTGGCCTGCTTGGATCATGTGTCCTTCCAGCCAAACACGGAATCCTCTTATTAGTCAGCTCGAGTCCTATGCCCCATTCCATTGACAAACCTCCAAACAAAACTCGCTGCCATCCACCGATTCTGCTACCCTACCTTCAGGGTAGGGTAGAACTGCCTCCTTAGCATTTCCAAGGCTATAAATCTTTACACATATCTGTCTCCCGAAGAAACACTAATGTGTTTGAGCACTTCAAGCAGAGCACTTTAAGACAGATGAAAACTTGTAGATGTCTACTCCATTGTGGAACGACTCCATTTTCCCAATATTTTTCTCAGTTAGAACTATTGAAAAATCTCATGACATGTTCATCATGTGGTAGGAATTTATCTTTATATATTAGATCTACCTCTGTTCTTTTTAAAAATCAGACTATCATGCTTAAAGTGGAATTACTTGAAAGAAATACAGTGGTTAAAATTACACAGACCATAGTGAAAAAGCAAGAATAAAATATTCTCATAGAAAATGTTCAGGCCCCCCTACTTTTATTTGGGTACAATATTTACCCCCAAATTGGGAAAATGCCAGTTGTGGATTAATCCTTTAAAACATGGGTAGAAATGGACTAATTTTATGAATACTCCTTTCTGATGATTTGTGGGTTTTAATGTGCTAACAAATTGGATATAACATTGGTGTTTGATATCAAACCTATAATTTATAAGCATAAGTACATATCTATATGCTAAATGAAACACAGGGCAACACAGAGCAAGAGCTCAACTCCATTGAGTTTACTTTAACTCTTTAAGTATAATTTTGTGAACTCTTTCCCACAGGTGGTGTCATCTTAATTGATATCCACTATTTTACCATTCTAGTTTCTGATATCCATAGCAATGGCTACACAGACACTCACAGGGCGAAAAATCATGATTAAAAGAGTTATTAGGGATGTTATCAAGTTGTAATGTCAGTGAGAAATGCTCCAGGTAGTCATTTACCAGGACATGTTACAAAGTTTCAGTTCTGCTAATAAATGCCCAAAGGGGCATATCACTCTGCTGTAAGCTTCATCCTGAACACCTATGGTTCAAGCTCCTTGGGTCAGCAATCCCAGGTGCCTGAATTAAGTGCCAGGGGTACCCCATTCTAAGAAGCCACAGCCCAGAGGCACTCAGCTCTATTTCCATGGATCACCAAGTCCAACACCCCCAATTAAGTGCCCAGAAAGAGCCCCTACTCCACAAGCCAGTCTTCTTGCTTCGTGGGCTGGCAGCCCATCACTCTATTTCATGCTCTGGCTCCTGCTGTGCTGTAGCTCCTCTCACAGTACAGCTGTCATCTGAATCCAGCAGGTTCCCTGCACAGGGATCTCCTGCTCCACTCCTGGCTCTTGATGATCATGAGATCCCTACTCCTGCTTCTCAGAGGGCTCGTTTTATAGAGAGTAGGGTGCCACTCCAGGGAATCCCATTCAGAGTTACTCATAGGTGAATCCTATCACTGTACTCCCCATTCCCCTACACACACCATCTTTCCAGATTCATGCAGGGAAAGGCCATTTGGTTGGGGTGAGAGACTTTAGCTAGAGGAGCCACATTACGTAATTCACTTACCACACATACCCCTTCCCATGTGTGGTGAGAAATTCAAATTCTGCTTAAATCTTTTCTATCCCTTACTCCAGTCTCCCACTCCTGCAAGGTGGTCTTAATTGGAGGTGGCGTTTGAAGACTCAGGTGTACTGCCTGGGAAAGCTCATTCCAGACATTGAGACATGTTCAAAGACTCTTAACTATTTTAAATAAACCTACAAGAAAACGGACGTCTACAAAAATCATCCTAAAAACGAGAGGTCTCTAGCACTCATCCTCACTCTTGATCACCTGCTGCCCTCTTGTAAGTTGAATGTGCAATGGACAGACAGTCTAGCTCAGCTGCAGCGAGTCACAGAGCAGGACCAAGAACACTCACTGAATGTAGCAAGTGCTTCTCATTGTTAACGTTTCTCGTTGTTTTTAACTGCTCTGGAGTCCATCGTCGTAAAATCCTAACAGAATACAGTGCTTTCTGGTCCTGCAACTGTCCCCAGGCTTGTTTGCAGATCAGACCGTTATGATCTACAGGGTTTTTATTAGGTCTTTCTTCCTAGTCTGTCTTAGTCTGGAAGCTCAACTGACATTTGTTCAGCAACATAGCAGCCCACAAGCTTCAACCAACAGATGCATGGGGGTTCTGCATGAGGTATCATGACCAGGAGTTTAACCCTGGGTTCCTGCAGAGTGAGAATTCTGTCAGTGAACCATCATTCCCTTTTCCACCCTCTACTTGACCTTAGACTACCTCTACTGGCTGTGTTTCCTCATACATACAGTAGCAAATGGGCTAAATTGGCCTCAAAAATTACTGGCGGCTTCACTAGTTTCTGAAGGTATATCTTTAGAGTTGATAGAAATGGAAAGGTGGATTAATGTGGAGGTTAGTGTCAGGTATCTGAGAAACTGTTTCTCTATGGATTTGGACTTTTAAGGAAAGATAGCTTTTCCTTCTTAAAGAATGGGTGCAGTGAAATGATAAAGGATGGAGAACTACCTATGTAGCCACCACAAAGAGACCTGGATTTCAAAGTATGGGCAATCCCCAGGTTACTAACATCCAATAGATAGACCCAACAAACTAGTGTTATGAGCCCTGTAAAGTCTATGCATTAAAAATCTGAGGCACAAACAATGATTTGTGTTAACAAACTGGTGCTGATTTGCAATGTACAGCAAAACATTATTATTATTATTATTATTATTGTACCATTATGTCAGGAGCAAGATGAGACTGTCTAGTCCCGTGAAGACTGATAGCTTTGAAAACACCGCAGGGCCAGTTCTACCTAGCAGGTTGCTATGAGTTGACAAGGCCTCCATGACAGTGGGTTCTGGGATTGGGACTATTGAGTTAAAGATATTGAGTATATCTGGAAGTCTTTCTTTAATGGTTTTTATGCATGGAAAAGTACATTATCCACTAAAACAAGCATGTGACGAAGGGATTTTAGATACGAACTGTACCTCATTGTTCCAGCTTACACACAAATTCAATTTAGCGACCGATTTGGGAAGGATACTTATCCATCATCTGAGGCCTGCCTGTGCTGGGCCTCTTCTACCTGAGGTTGGAGGGATTTATGGAGAATCAGAGGCCCCGTGAAAGTGGACTTGATAGATGTTTACTTAAAATGACAACAAGCAAACAAATAGTTACATTATAAAGGAATTATGAATTAGGTGACAGCGTTTAGATTTGGGGGGAAAAACCCTTTTAAAAGAATGGGGCAATACCTGTCTCCCAGAGCACACAGACCAAACTGCAATGACGGTGAAGGGGCTAAGGTGACTGACATTGGGGAAGAGATACTGATGTGCAGATGTGGCTCATGTCATTGACAAGTGTAAGATGCGAAATCTAACATGGACTTTTCCAAGGATCTATTTACACCTAAATTCTTGCCCTTTCTCTATGTGCCAGGATTTTTGTGGGTGGGTTATTTAATGGGAAGGGAACACAAGTGTGCAGATTCTTTGGGAGATGGACCTCTTAGATAGCAAATTCTCTGTTGAGGTCATTTGCATTAGATCCCTATTGGCTGCATCATGGATAGTGTGGCTGGCACCCAATGCATCCATTCTAAAAGATGACCCCAAAGTGCCTAATATGAAATGGCGTTGGCGTTAAATATCTTGATGGTACTTAATTTAACATCAACAATAACCAAATCTTGGTGACCCAGACTCTGTGCTCCAGACGATGTAGACTTTAGACTCGGTCCTTTCCAGGTGCACCACGTGCTTCACAGGGCACACCAGAAGGCTCCAATTTCACCATTCAGTGAAGTGGGCTTTCCCTTAAACTCACCTGTAGCAGATTTAAGGAACTGAGGTTTTTCTATTTTTTATTTTATTATTATTGTGGGCTTTGTTTTGATTTTTTTTGCTGCATAGAAATCCAGAATAGGTAATTCTATATAGATGGTAACAAAATGAATAGTTTCTTTGGTTATGGTAGGGAAGGTGGGGAAGGGGGTATTGGATGGGAACTAATAATAATGAGTACAAGAAAGAAGAAAATGTTCTAATATTGATGTCATTGGTGATCGAATAACTCTTTTTTAAATGTTTAAATTATTGAATTGTATGATAAATAAATTCACATATGTCAATAAAGCTGTTAAATTTTTAAAAAAATGTTAGCTGAGGAACATGGTTAGGATGACCAAGATGTTTAGGACAGTTTCTCAGATAATATGCTTGAATATAAACCTGTAATTTGGTCTCCTCATGCTAAAACTCAGGAAAAAGCATAAAGAGATAAGTCAACAAGTATTGCAGCCATGGCTCATTTTTCAGCAATAAAACAGGGTGATCAGGGAAATTGTAGCATGAGTGGCGGG